ATTTCCCCAAGCCGCTGTTCCCTGTAACACACGGCACGGGTCCAAACTTACTACGGGACCCAGCTCCTGCCCAGGCCGAGCGTCAACAGCGCAAGGAAAACCTTACAGGCTTTCCTCATGCAAAGGCTCCCGCCGCTGAGCAAGGCAGACGTGGTGGAGGAGATCTCGCCCTGCCCTGCACCTTTCCCAGCCCTACGGCTACTCAGTCCGGCAAAGCCTTCCGCAGCTCGCCGCTGTTTGGAGGTCCAAGTGCATCATGTTTACTGGCCTACTTTTATCTACGTAAGCTTTGCTGGGTCTACGAGGCTCGATTCCCCTCTACGACCTCTACGGTGCTCTACCATATCTACCCATGGTTAGGAGCTACCAGCGTGGCCCCTACGAAAGTCAGCTTCTTCCCGGAGCTCTTAAAAATCGGAGCCACGTTGGCAGCACCGGTTCTCCCGATTCCTGTGGCTGGTTTAAGCTTGAGGTTGCGCATGGCGGTTAATAGCCCAATGACTTCACCTCCGAGCTCCTGTGGAAGCTTCGGCGAATGCCATCTCACCCCGATGACTTCAGACCCTTCACCTGACCGGGCTGCTATAAAATGGCTTCACCTGATAATTTGAGGCAGTTTGTCTGAATCATTTCCATAAAGATAAGTTATGGTATGGGAACCACCAAAAATTGTTCCCCGAGCCACAGTCAGGCGAGGAATTAATTATGCTTTGCTGTCGTGGTGTCCTGCTTCGTCTGAATCAGCTGCCAGCCCTGACAGAGATGCTGACCACGGGCAGCGTAAAACTGAGGTATTTTCCCCCGAGAATATTCTGGGGAAGGAAGAGACCAGGAGATCGGGGAAGTATTCCGGGGAAACATCGCCAGAGGCTTCCTGTATTCCTGTCCTCTTCCCTGGACAACGCTACAGGCAGGGTCCAGGGCTGAGCAGACCTCGCTTTTCACCCGAGAAAACAACTGTTGTTGCCCCTGGAGAGGGGAAACTCTTCCTCCTTGCTGAGGAGGGTCTCCAAGTCGCCATGAGCAGATTTCACAGAGGTTTATAAGCGTTTTGCTCCTACTATTTAGTCCTAAAAGGCAGAATGAATGTACAAGCCCGCTCCGGAGCGACGTTAAGGGCTCCTATCCGGCACCACGCCGTCTGCAGGAGGAAGCTCGCCTACCCAAGAGGCGCAACGCCTCGGATGTGCTCCCAGACGAGGAGCAGAGTGACGGACAGACCAAAGGGAGCAGCACTTGATGAGATCCCAGGTAAGCCTGAGCAGGGCAGGAACCAAACCCTGGCACAAAATTCACTCACGGTGCCCGTGCTGCTCAGAAATACCAAGGAAATACCCGAGTGGTACAAACTTCTCTACCTTTTACATGAAGCACTTCCACGGACACAGGGAACGCTGTGCTTGGGGCACCAAGCACGGAGAGGAGGAACCTCAGGGTGCTCCACGCGTGCTCAGCAGAAACGGGGCTGCAAAGCCCACGGGCTCAGCCCCGGTGCAGTGAAGCAAAGGGCTTCTGCTGGGGTCCTCAGACCCTTGAGCCCCCTGGACCTGGGGCCCAGGCCTGGGTGCCCCGTCTCCCCCGAGACCCTCCCTCCCCACGGCCAGCACGGCTCCGGCACCGCGGGTGGGATCACGCCTGGCTCACGTCGGGCAGGGGCAGGGGCAGGCAGGTTGGGGGATTTGGACCTACCGATCCCACCGAAGGGCAGCGAGGTCAACGTCACGTGCATCAGGGTGTCGTTGCCGCAGAAGCCACCGCTGCTCGTCCGCTCCAGGACCTGGTTCACCACCTGGGAGGGAAGCAGAGAAGGTGGACGTGGGTCTGTTCCCACACCTCCAGCTGCAATCCTTCCCCCACAACCCAGGGCTGTCTGCTCTAAAGAAGATCTTTGGAGCATGAACGCGGCTGAGTACACCTGCCAAGGAGCACGGGGCAGGCGTAGCCCTGGCTTCGCACAGCCTGCACGCTATACCTTGTCATCGGAGGAGAAGGCGTACACAACCAGCGGCCGCTCACGGCTGTTGATGAAGTCAATGGCTTCGTCCACGTTCGCCACAATGACAATGGGCAAGATGGGGCCGAAGATCTCCTCCTGCATGATAGGATCAGAGGGCTGCAAGTCCACCAGCACTGTGGGAGCTGCAGAGAAAGAAACCCGAAGGCATCAGCCGTGCACGGAGGTTGAAGATGACACCTTGGTCCTCTCCCCAAGACCCATACCTCCTCTAAGATAGGACGCCTTGCCAAGCTCCCCGATTCCCATGCAAACCTTCCTTAAATGTCACTTCCATCTAGAACCTCCCGTCCAGCTGTGAGACCCGCTTCAAAATCCAAGTCCACTCCATGCAAGGATGAAGACTTACGTGAAGTTCAAGCCCTCACCAATGTAGCGCTCCTCCTCGTCTGTCTGTCCTCCGATGACCACGCGCCCGCTGCGCAGCAGCGTCTGCACCCGCTGGAAGTGCTTGTCCCCCATGATGCGGCTGAAGTCGGGGGACTCCTGAGGGTTGGGGCCATAAAAATCAGTGATGACCTTATGCAGAGCGGGCAGCAGCTTCTCCTGCATCTCCACGCTGCACAGCACGTAGTCGGGCGCGATGCAGGTCTGCCCTGCGTTGAAGAAGCGGCCCCAGGCCACCCGCCGGGCCACGTTCTGCACGTCGCAGGTGTCGGACACGTAGCAGGGGTTCTTGCCCCCCAGCTCCAGCGTCACGGGCGTCAGGTGCTTGGCAGCGGCTGCCATCACGATCCTCCCCACGGAGGGGCTGCC